CGTATTATGAGTTTTCAAATCTTTCAACTTCTATATTTTGCGCCAAAACGTATCAAATAAATCCGGATGACTTCAAATTTACCACACGAGTCATAAATGATATAATGGAGCTGTTCCAATTTTTGGAATTGAAATCCTACCTCGTTATAAAAAATTCAACATTCGGCCGAACTCTCAAAAAATCTTCTATTTTTCAACTTTCGCCGAAATGCGTCGAATTGTCCTACGGACTTTCAAATCCAAATCCGGACATACGCCTAAGTTCGAAATTACCATACGAAGCTATTGACATCATCAAAATTTCATTCCGGGGTCGTTTGCTCAAAAGTCAACTCTTTGGTCAACGTTTTCCATTTAAGCTTCAAAAATGAGAATTGTTCTTTAAATTAAATTTCGAATCTTTTAAAAACCAAACTCGACCACACACGCGGGTCATAATACATATTACGAAGCATCTCGAGACCTTAAGTCGCTGAACGGGGCGTGAATTCTTAAAATGATAAGTCAGGTTGTTACTACAAATTACCATTCAATAAATCAAGTTCCTTTACTTCTTCTCCATTTGAATTATTACACAGTGATATATGGACTTCCCCCATCCCATTCTTTATTGGATTTCGCTACTACATTCTTTTTCATGATGATTTTACCATGTTTTCCTGGGTATTTTCTCTGCGACAAAAGTCTGAGGCTTTCACTATGTATAAGAATTTTTACGCCTTCATTTCAACTAAGTTTTCCACTAAAATCAAAATGTTACAATGCGATGGGGCTGCTGAATATGTCAAAATTAAATTATTTCGTTCTTTTCTCAATGATAATGGAATTTCTCTTCGAACTCTTGCCCTCATACCCATTAATAAAATGGAAAGGTTGAGCGAATGCATCGCACAATCTTGAATATGATTCGATTTCTTCTTTTTCAAGCCTCTCTTCCCTCTAGATTTTGGGTAGAAGCATTGCACGTACAATGTATCTCCTAAATATTCTTCCTACTGTTTATGATCATTTACGTGCCTTTAGTTGTTCTTGTTATCCTAATCTTTGTGACTATTGCGCAAACAAATTAAGTCCCCATTCCATACATTGTATTTTTCTTGGTTATCCCTCTAACTACAAGGGTTTCGGATGTTTTGATCCGTTAAGTAATAAAGTCTATATCTCAAGACATGTTCGTTTTGATGAGAGTTCATTTCCCTATCCTCGTCTTATTTCTTCGAAATATTCTAATTTAAATAATAATATTTTGTTCAAGTCTCCAGTTTGTAGTTCCTTTTCTATTCCTTCTCACTTATCTTATTCTAGGAAGATTTAAAATACGCCACACGTTCCCTGCTCCTCTTTATCTCCATCGTCTCACTCTCCTGTTCAAATTAGTAAATGTAATTTCCTTCCTTCTAATATTCAAAGTCCTCTTGGTGGAGAACTCTCGCAACAATTTGCTAGATAGTAGGCAAAATATCTCTTCTCAATATCAAATGCCTAATCCAACACAATCTACATTTTCTAACTCCTCACGTATCTCACAAAGGTTCTATTCTATTTGTCACGACCCGAAATTTTCATATTCAGGACCGTGATGACGTCTAACATTTTATTTTCTAGGCAAGCCAACATTAAAATAATCGTAACCATTTTTTTTAACAAATCAAATTAAACGGAAGTCAATTACTGAAATAAAGTGCGAAAGACCATAACAATTGAATCATCCATATACATCCCCAAATCTGATGTCACAAGTGCACGAGCTTCTAGAATAATATAAATAAAAGCCTGAATAAAATTCTAGCTGTTTGAAAGATAACACGTAGCTAGATAAGATAGAAGGGGACTTCAGAACTGCGGACGCTGTGCAGTTATACCTTAAGTCTCCTCTGGGTAGCTGAATCCGAGCAGTCTATGGTACGCCGCTGGGACAAACTCCAAAATCTGCACAAGAAGTGCAGAGTGTAGTATGAGTACAACCGATCATATGTACTCCGTAAGTATCGAGCCTAACCTCGACGAAGTAGTGACGAGGCTATGACAAGACACATACGTAAACAACATGTACAAGCATATACAAATACGAAGCAATAATAGCACAAAAATTAACAATTTATAAATTTGGGAGGGAAACATACGAAGGGGAATGGTATAGAAATTTCAGCAGGAAAAGTGCCACGTTGCAGCTAATTAATTCATCAATAATAAAATGAGAAGTTGATAATATGAAACTGGCACGACGCCACCCTTCGTGCTTTTACTCTCATTCTTCCCATAAATTTATAAATAGATAATAAGATTGGCACGACATCACCCTTCGTGTTTTAACTCTTTTTCTTGCCATGAATTGATAAATAAATAATAAGATTGGCACGACATCACCCTTCGTGTTTTAACTCATTTTTTTGCCATGAATTGATAAATAAATATAAGATTGGCACGACTTCACCCTTCGTGCTTTAACTCTTTCTCGGCACGACATCACCCTTCGTGCTTTTACACTCTTTGAAAATGGCACGGCATCACCCTTCGTACTTTTACACTCATTCTCACCATGACAAGGATAATATAAATAATATAAATGGCACGGCATCACCTTCATGCTTTTACACTCTTCGTTGCCATAAAAATAATAATATAAATTTGGAAGAGTATTTAAATGCGGAGATATATACTTATCAATCAATTCAATACCAGAATACCGACTTCACCTTCCAAAATATTCAACAATAATTAAACTAGCAATAATCTCATGAAAAATGATCAAATAAACAATAATAACTTAAACAGGAATATCTTAATTAAATAGGTAATTATTCACAATAAATAAATTCCACCCGCATGCTTTGACTCAACCACAACACATAAGTACTCGTCACCTCACATATACGTTGTACCCGTACATTAAATCACGTAGAAAATAGACAAACAAGTCCTACTCCCTCAAGCTAAGGTTAACCACGACACTTACATCGCTTTGCAACCAACTCAAAATTTCAATAAACCTTTGCCTTGCGTTGTCCGAATGCCTCAAATCTAGTCACAAACAATTCAATATACTCGATACGAATTATAGAAACTAATTCTATATAAAAATACTAAATTTTTCAATCAAAATCCGAAATTCAATTCAAAAATTGACAGTTGGGCTCACGTCTCGGAACCCGACAAAAGTTACAAAATATGAACGCCCATTCAACCACGAGTCTAACCATATAAATTTTACCAAATTCTGACATCAACTCGACCTTCAAATCCCCAAATCTTATTTTCAAATCCATAGGCCCAAATTCTCGAATTTCACCTCAAAAACACGTAATCTAGTCGGAATAATCGATGATAATTCAATATTATTGACTAACAATGATCACAAGTGACTTACCTCAAGTTTTTTCGTGAATTCTCGCTCAAAAATTGCCTCAACTTGTGTTGAAAATGTCCAAAATGACAAAAATCTCGGAACCCCTCTGTTTTTAACACTGCCAATATTTTCGCTTTTGCGGCTCAGTAAGCCGCTTCTGTGGCTATTTATGCTTCTGCGGACACGCTTCTGCGAAGGAGCGTGCCCCTTCTCCTTTTTCGCTTATGCGATGCAAGGCTCGTTTCTGCGAGCTCGCACCTGCGAGCTAAATTCCGCAGGTGCGATTGCACCAGAAGGCCAAAATTTCCAGCAGATGTTTAAGTCCAAATTTCAATCCGTTAACTATCCGAAACTCACCCGATGCCCTCGGGACCTCAACTAAATATACCAACAAGTCCTAAAATATCATACGAACTTAGTCGAAGCCTCAAATCACATCAAACAACGCTAAAACCACGAATCATACCCCAATTCAAGCTTAAGGAACTTAAGAATTTTTAACTTCTACATTCGATGCCGAAACCTATCAAATCAAGTCCGATTGACCTCAAATTTTGCACACAAGTCATAAATGACATAACAGACCTATTCAAATTTCGAGAATCGGATTCCGACCCCCGATATCAAAAGTCAGCTCCCCGGTCAAATTTTCAAGATTAAATATCTATTTTAGCCATTTCAAGCCTAATTTAATTATGGACCTCCAAATAATTTTTCGGACACGCTCCTAAATCCAAAATCACCATATGGATCCACCGGAATCATTAAAATACCAATCCGGATCCGTTTGCTCAAAATGTTGACCGAAGTCAACTCAAGTGAGTTTTAAAGCTCTATTTCACATTTTAATCATTTTTTCACATAAAAAGTTTTCGAAAAAATTTACGGACTGCGCATGCCTAAGTCTTTTTAATCCAAAGTTCGTTAGGCTTGCCTAAGTCATTCAATCCAATATATATACTTGTCACATACATAATGAGAGATAACAAACAGGAAACAACAACGAGCAACGACACAGTGCAAACTAAGGAATGCTGAAAGGTGCTATTCGAGATCTCAAAACATAAAAATGAATATTTAAAATTAAAGATTACATATTGGTCATCACACTAATCCTTATATTCCCACTTCAAAATTAATTCATGAATCCTCCCCACGACAGAATACTACATGCCTTGCATCAAATCTTATTTCAGTTCCAACCACCTATTCTGCATGTAATTCTTCCTTACCTCCTATTTTCACTCTAACTACACTTCCTATATCTTCTATTATTCCATTTTCAAATAATATTTCATCTACATCACTTAATTCTCCAACTCCCCAGCCAACTTTAATTCAAAAATCTACTTCTATCTCAACTATACCTTCACTCCCTCCTCTTCCACGGCCTTTACATCCAAATCCACAAACAATATCCTCAAATATTTCTGTACATAATCCGCTCCAGCATCCCACAACTACTGCAATTCCTTGTGATAATTCTCCCAGTTTACATCCACCTACTTCTAAACTTCATCACATGGTCACAAGAAAACAAACTGGTTCACTTAAACCTCAAATTTTATCATCTTTAATATCTCATATTTTACCACTTCCACCAGAACCAACCTCATTTACAGAAGCTAACAAATCGCCTCATTGAAAACGTGCAATGGTTGAAGAGTACAATGCCCTTATATCCAACCATACTTGGGATCTTGTGCCTCCACATCTAATGCTAGTGTTATTGGTTGTCGTTGGGTTTAAGAGTTAAACAAAAGTCCGACGGGTCTCTTGAACGTTACCAAGCGCGACTTGTCGCTCAAGGTTACAATCAACAACATGGACTAGACTATGATCAAACATTTAGTCCAGTGGTGAAACCAGTCACCATTCGTATTGTTCTTGCTATTGCTGCATCTAAGAAATGGCCAGTCCATCAATTAGATGTCAAGAATGCCTTCTTGCATGACACTCTTAATGAGCTGGTATACATGAAACAGCCTACATGCTTTGTTCATCTACAATTTCCACATCATGTTTGTCGGTTGAACAAAGCTCTTTATGGCTTAAAGCAAGCCCTGCAGGCATGGTTTCAACGTTTTACTTCTTTAATTCTTTGTCATGGTTTTAAAAATAGTATGTCAGATTCTCCTCTATTTATCTACAAAAATAATACTGACATTGCTATTCTTCTCATCTATGTGGACGATATTCTTCTTATCGCTTCTTCTTCTACTTTACTTAGTTCTTTGATCGCGGCCTTAAAATCAGAATTTTCCATGAATGATTTAGGTTTGATTAATTTCTTTCTTGGCATCTCTGTAACTTCTCGAGATGGTGGTTACTTTATTTGTCAGTCCAAATATATTAAAGATCTCCTAGGTCGTGCCAACCTTCTTTCTTCCAAACCTGTTACTTCACCTATTTCCCCGAAATCTATACATAATTCTAGTGACTCATCTCCATTCTCAGATGCTACTCTCTATAGGAGCCTTGTTGGTGGTCTTCAATATCTTACATTTACCCGTCCAGATATTGCATTTGCTGTTAATAGAGTGTCCCAGTTTATGCATTCACCCTCGGTGACTCATTTTACTGCGGTGAAACGTATTCTACGATACTTGAATGTCTCTTTGACTCGTGGTTTGTTCATTCCTGGTGGTTCTATTGATAGTTTGTCCTGTTATAGTGATGCCGATTGGGCTGGCTGCCCTACCACTCGACGATCTACCTCAGCTTTTTGCTTGTTTCTTGGTTCTAATCTTGTTTCTTGGTCTTCTAAAAAGTAGAGTGTTGTATCTCGCTCCAGTGCCGAGGAAGAATATAGATCAGTTGCTCATGTTGCTGCTGAGATTACTTGGGTGCAATCTCTTTTACGAGATCTACATATGCCTCTTTCCTCTCCTTCCACTATTTTCTGTGATAATATTAGTAACATTTACTTGGCTCACAATCCTGTTCAACATGCTCATACCAAACATATTGAAATTGATATTCATTTTGTACGGGAAAAAGGTTGCTTCCGGAGTAATTCAAGTTCAATATGTCCCTACTCAAGACTAGCTTGCTGATTTATTAACAAAGTCTCTTCCATCTCCGAGGGTGTTGTTTTTGCGTGACAAACTCAGTGTTCTTCCAGATCGTGCTTCGCTTGAGGGGGAGTGATAAACATAATGTATAGGATAGACATGTAATTCAAGTTATTTTAAATTGTTGTTATACTTAGAGTTATCTTATATTTTAGATGTATATGTACTCTCTCTCTCTATATATATATATTTCATTGTACTTCTCAATTTTTTTTTATCAAGAATAGAACTCTTTCTCATTGTACTTAGGATAATTGGATAAGAGTAAGTAACTAGAGGTTTCATCGCTAATAGAATTGATACTCAAACTGAATATATTAAGTGATTATGAATTAGAAGGCGACTCATTGTAAGTGAAACTTAAAAATTTGTACATCTAATAATTGTAAATGCAACTTAAAATAATTTACACTAGTTACAAGAAAGTGACATGCATTATTACTGAATTTTAAAGCAAATGATATCTAAGTATGAGTTTAAAATTGACCCTTCTGCTACTATATCAAATTATATTCATTTTCTGGATTGAAACGAGCAGAATTATTCTTTCATTATATATGGATTTCGGATTGAACAACTTTGTCTATCTTGACGTTGGTTCCCCAAGTACATGTAAGTATATGTGGCCGTCAAATAATAAAATAACTTGAAAGTCGGATGTCGAACCCACATAGACTTAGAGTAATTATTAATTAAGCTAACTAAATTAATTAATTGTCCAAGGTAATCAAAAGTAATGATATTTTTTACTAATCTACTTTTGCAAATATTAAACATATAAATAGTTAAACTAACAAGGACGCAAGAATTTATGGTTGGATTTTAATCAAAGGAAATAAAGATTACAGGGTCGTGGTCGGTTTATCAATCCTATTGAGTCGTAATTACACCTGTTAATCTGAATTATCTATGGTTGCTAGTTGACCGAGTCGTTTATATAAACAACATGTTCCCTTATTACTATCCGTCTATTCACAATATATCAACCATATATTTCTATAGTATTGAATATATCATGAACCAATATAATACGACATTAACTAAGCAAAACTGTTAGGTATATTCTTATCCTAACCGCGAAATTCTTCCCCGAGCCATGGTTTCAGAAACAATCTCTCTCTAATTCTACTCTAATCTAAATATAACTTTTTCAAGCATAGCATAGATAATAAATAGAACTTAACTACTAACCAAATAATTAAGCAATTATGCATAAAATTAGAGAAATAACCAAAGCTGATAACTCAAATTAACGGTGACGTAATTATAAAACTTCAATATTTATGACAACCACAGTCCTAGAAAATAGAGTTGTTAGCCCCCCATAATTGTAGTAACAATCATTCAAATGTTTTGCATGAATAAATTATAAAGAAAATATGAAGGAATGAAGAACTATGATTTTTTCCTCCAGAGTTGCTCCACACGGTGTTCTAGCCTCTAAATAATATCCAATCCCTCAAAACTGCGTTTAGAAACTACTTTATACTTGTTAGAAACGTGTAGGACAGACCTGGACGCCCATTTTTCTGCACTTTTATACTCGGCTGCCTTTGGCGTTTTAGTTGGTGCCTTGAGCCCTTCTCGACGTCGAACTCATAATCCCTCAAAATTATTCTGTTTTGACTTCAAATTGCATGTGCATTCTTTCCAAATCACTTTAGAGACTCCTACAAAAATAAGCACCGTAATTAAGGTCAAATCGTCAATATTCGCATTAAAGTTAACAAAGACCGAGATATAATACAAGACAAATTACATGCGAGCCAAACATCAATTGACTCTCTCAAATTAGGGCAATGCATTGACTAGTGTTTATTACGAATACAATCCAAATGAGGTCTTTTGGGGTATATAATCGTGCGTTGAAGCCAAATGGGAGGAGAAAAGGGATATCTAAGCTAAAATTAAGATATCTTAGCTTCTAACTAAAGATATGTCTAAGACCTAAATATAATATCTTATTGAGTCGCCGCTTGTGCCAATAGGATCGACATGATAACTATAGGGTCCAACATAAAATTATTTAAGAAAATTACATAGAAATGCAACTGGTAGAGTACTTATTTTTAAGCATATGTAAAAATCGACTTGACCTCCAAGAAATTCATACATGTAATTATAAGTGATGATTCTATTTAACGAATCTTATTATTTCCTCGTTAGGTGATGTTAAGATATTCAACACTCAAAAGGCGATTCTTGTAAAAAAAAAATTAGTAACTAATAGAGAAATGGAATAACTTTTTGATTAATAAAATTTTCTTTATTACCTTTTCCAATGACATGATAGGAGCAGTAAAGTCCGTTTCTAAGTTTTTATTTTAGTTTTCACAGTATGCAGTAAAAGAATAAACATTTCAAAATACCCATTTTCTTATTTTTCTAAATCTTTATATATTTAGGAGTAATATAAACACTCATAAGATAAATACTAGTTAGGGATATACATATACAAAGACTACTAAATATGGATAGATAAACATTCCCTCTGTCTCATATTATCAGTCGTGGTTACTAAAAATAGTTATCTCAAATTATTTGTCACTTTAGAAGTTCAGGACAAAATTAATTATATTTTTCTCTTATTACCCTTAGTAATAATTATCCTTGAAAACTACATACACCTTAATTATGAATAACTTTATTCAAATATCAATGAGGAAAGATTAAATATTAAGATATGAATAAGGGTAAAGTAATCAAATTTTTATCCTAATTAATTTTTCTTAAAGGGACGTGTATAAGAGAATTGTCTATATATANCTATATCTATATATATATTCTATATATATATATATATATATATTAAAGGAATAAAGTTATCATATATAATTGGCATTGTGGTTAAGCCAAGTGACAAGCTAATAAATGCCAATAGTATATGGTAACTTTATTCTATATTTAACTATGTTAGTCAAATACATATATATCTAAAAAAAGCTGAATATGAATTAAAAGATATTTTAAATTTATAGATAAAGTTTTTAAATTTGAATTAAAATAAAAAAGAAATTATTTATTATCATGTTATCACACTTAATTCAGTTAATGATCATATGCAATCATGTTAGGAACTTTTATTATCTTATCTAATTATTTAAATATTGCTTCGGCTCTGGCAAAAAAAAAAAAAAAACTACTCCATATAACTATAAAAATCTTTCATATTTAAAACCCTATACTTATAATTATGTAAAACACTATAACTAGATTTGAATAAAACGAATTTCTTTTAAAATAAATGTAATATAAAGGGTACACGTCTATGTTTATCCAGAATTCCAGATAACAAAAAGGAGTTTAAAAATCGAATAAAAATTTACTTACATATATAATGAAGTAAACCTACATGCTGGAGAAAGAAACACCACAAAAATTAGTCAATATTAAAAAAAATGTTTTTCTTTTTCTTTTTCTTTTTGAAGAATGTTACTTTGAAGAGTCAACTTGAATAAATGGGCATCAAACAAATAACGCAACGTTGGCTATACAATTGCTATCATTAATTTCAGTTTAGCACTTTCTAGGAATTTAAGGGTATAAGCTGAAACCTCTTCATTTAGCTGCAGTCAATCCAACATTATAAGGGTATAATATTTTTTTCGTTGAAGCATATTAGTTTTGAATCATTAGATTATGTGAAAGATTTTTTTTCTCGAATTCAACGAGAGAGGTATTGGTTTCTAATTGATAGTTTCTATAGCGATTTTCAAGCGTAACAAAAAGTATATATTATTTTTAAAAAAAATTGGTATGACGTAAACTATTTTTTTTTTAAAAATGTAAACAAATTATTCGAAATGGGATTACATTTTAAAATATAATTTAATTTTAAGAATGAAAATATAAGATATTTTTGAATTTTAGTAGAGAATTTTAAAATTATTATAATAGAAGTCATATCATGGATAAAATCAAGAAACCGAAATCTTATGGAATATTTACATAAATATCCGGCCAGATTTATTGNTTTTGAATTTTAGTAGAGAATTTTAAAATTATTATAATAGAAGTCATATCATGGATAAAATCAAGAAACCGAAATCTTATGGAATATTTACATAAATATCTAGTCAGATTTATTGTTTACTTCCTATAGCTAATATACATAGATGATATACCGACAACACATGATTATACACATATTATATATAAATTATATATAAATTATACATCCTTCAATATTTTAATTTAAGTGGTTGGGTGAGCACCTATTTAGGTTGATTGGATAAAACCAAAAAAAAATATGAAAAAATTTCAACGAAAGACTAAAAATATAAATAAAGTTCTTATGTAGTCAATTTCTATTAAAACTCATCCTTTTATAGCGAAATAAATTAATTTTTTGTAAAAAAATAAAGAAAGACATAAAAAATAAGATAAAAGAAAATAAATATGGAAAAAAATGTATGAAAAATCTAAAAACCAGAAATAAGAGAAGACAATGAATTTCTTCTTCTGTTTCATCTTTGTTGAGTATAAAATATTTGGAAGCTGATCTCATCGATTTCAAATTTTTTTTTCAACTCAAATACATAGATTATAAGATAAGGATATCTTAGATTTTTTTTTAATTTACATGGTGTGTCGTTTTTAAAAAATCACTATTACTAACAAACTGATATGATATTTGAATTTGAATTTAAATGCAATTTGAGTAGTTTGCATTGAGGTTAAGCCAAGTATAGTATCGAGAA